GAAAAGACCTTATCGACCTTTATCTCTCTCTTTTCTATCGCAATCAAGTGGGGGGGAAGAATATAAAGAAAGTTGCTTCCTTTGAGTTTTTTATTCGTTTATAGGTCTGTTTTTTCTTTTTCTTTTGTGGGTTAAATTGTTGGACTTTTTGGAAAATTAATATCTATGTAATTGATCGAGAAGTGGGATTGTAAAGTTGATTTGGTGGATTCATATAAAAATTTGTATGATATTTTCTTCTAGACGTTTGGGTTGGTGTGATACTTCTTCATTCTTCATGGTGAGTCGTTTTGTCAAACAAATATTCAATGCACGATTCACCGATCAAGAGAGAAGAGACATTCATATTTCGGAATATTTGTTATTACCGGATGTAATAATGTGTGTGGTTTTGTACATTACCATTTTTCCAAAGACAAACAAATTCTCAAGGTAATTGTTAATTCAGGTAAAACTAGTTCAAAAGATGTTAATTCTTTTACATAGATTGACCAAAATGTATCATTCTAATCTATAAGACAACATACCGATCAATTATTATTTTTTGCACTTTGGTGTGGTTTCAAAAATATAAACGACTAGATTATGTTTGAAATCACCAATACATGTTTTATCTCTTCTTTTTATTTTGGGTCGAATACATGTTATATCTTAAAACTCAATGTAGTGTTAATATTGCTCTATTGATATTCTAACTGCAGTTAACGACATGTTATAAAGTCATAAAATTAGTTTTAAACAATGTTTTTCTATTAATTTTGATTACAAAAACTCAAAATTTACAAGATACTAAAAGAAAAAACCTACACAAGTTTACATTCCCAAGCCAGTAAAAAATGATGAGTTTTTTAAAAAGTGGATTTTAACCCCAAAAAAGGTGAAAATCTTTGTGTTAAAATTTACTTCCTTTTAGAGATGATATAGTCTAGTCAAGAATTAAACGCAGTTTCCATGTAAGCAAATTACTCCAAAAAACGGCTCTCCCGGCGCGTTGACAAAATGTTCATTATGTCTTACGTGGCATGTTCTGATTGGATATAAAAAAATCCCGACCAATGAATGACTACAACGCAACACAACCTTAAACTACACGCGCCACTGTCTTAAAACGTATTATCTTTGCTTAATAGCGTAATAAACCTTTAGGGAAA